TTTTAAAGCCAACAAATAAGTTCATGAATGCAATATTCACCAAAATAGATCCTCTAAATAATACTTTATACATAGTTTTTAATGAATCTGCTATATTTTTATTAGAAATATTTTTCAAATTTAAAAACGACTTAGTATTTGTAAGGTTGTAGTATAAAAAATCTTATAAATGCATCCAGATACTACCACAAACAAGAAAATTAAAACATTCAATTTGTCATTACTGTTTATGTCTTGCTGACCCAATTTCTTCAGTTAATCAGATTTTCCTTGTTTTTGTAATTTAAGCTACCAAAACCGCAAACAAACATTTCTATAATTTGTTTTGTCTGACATTACAAGGAGTTGAGGTAATTTTTTCTTTTACGAAAAGTATAATTTATTTAGTTGTTAGTGCTTTTGGTGTCACTATATGCCAATAAATCAGACCATGAAAAATATGACGAATCACTCTAAAGGAAAACAAAATTCGAATATAGGAAGAAAGATAGAACTACAATTAGAATTCAATCTCATAAGAAATACACTAACATGAAACATAAAGTACAGGTATGGGTGAGGAGTAAATTCAGTAACGTCCATGAAAAATAATTAGGCTGCTGGTCCAGATGAATACCAAGCGAATTGCTAAAACTGGTCAATGAAAAAAACATAGATCTTTTAGTCCAACTACTGAACACAATTTACTCCACAGGAATTATTCCACGTGAAATGCATCGACATTTATTTGTTTACCAAAGAAAGTCAATGTCAAAGAATGTAGTGATTATCGACCGATGAGTCTAATGTCACATATCTTAAAAACCCTGCTAAAAATCATCCATGATAGGATACACGCTAAGCTGGAGACGGATATCAGTGATTTCTAGTTTGGATTTCGGAATGTAGTGGGCACAAGAGATGCACTATTTTCTTTTAATGTGCTGACCCAAAGATGTTTGGATGTTAATCGAGATCTTTATGTATGCTTTATAGACTAGAACAAGGCATTCGATAAGGTAAAACATGACCGACTTATAAAAGTACTCAAAAACAAGAATCTGGATGTGCGGGATGTAACAATGATACCAAATTTATAATACAGCCAACGATCAAATGTGAAAATTGGAAGAGAAATGTCAGAAGAAGTGGAGATAAGGAGAGGGGTCAGGCAAGGTTGGATATTGTCGCCGTTATTGTTTAATGCTTATGCTGAAGAAATCATACAAGAAACGTTGGTAAACGAGACAATCGGCATAAATGTGAACGAAAGTTTAATTAACAACATTAGGTATGCCGACGATACAGTCATAATAGCCGACAACTTGGAAGACTTAGAAAGAATAATGAACAAAATATTAAGATATAGTGGAGAATACGGACTCTCTCTTAGCATAAAAAAATCAAATTAATAGAGAGTAAAAAGATTAAAGACTTACTTGGGAACGATAATCACAGAAAATAACGATTATACTTTAGAAATAACAGTCAGAATTGAAAAAGCACGTGCCAACTTCGTGAAAATAAAAAAGATTTTATGCAGCAAAGATCTGACATTGGCCCTCAGAATAAGGCTAATTAAATGCTATGTACACAGTGTACTCTACTATGGAGCTGAATCATGGACATTAAACCGGAATACAATAAATCGACTTAACGCGTTTGAAATGTGGACATTTAGAAGATTGTTAAGGATTTCATGGGTAGATAGAGTCACGAATACAGAAGTGTTAAGAAGAATAGGCAGAGAGAGGGAAGTGGAAAATACAATCAAAATATCAAGATACAGCATCTTGAGATTCCTAATTCAAGGAAAAATAGAGGGTAAGGAGAAGCGTATCCTGGTTGAAGAACTTGAGAGAATTGTTTGGTTGCAGCTTAAGGCAATTGTTCAGAGCAGCTGCCTCAAAGGTCACATTAGCCATGATGATTGCCAACCTTCAGAAGAATGAGTGAGGACTCTTCGATGATTGTCTTCTAAGATCGGGCTGAAACCTGACTAAATGAAGATTTGCTGTAAATGTATCGCTGAAAATCGTTAGGAATTGTGGAGTTTTTGCTGCATGCTTAGGGTATCTTGGACATATTGAATCAAGAATAATTAGCATGATGGGCAAATTGGAAAAAAAACTAGAAATCTTGACATTTTTAATATCTATAAAGTCAACTTATTTTGTACATATAATGCGAAATGATAAATATAGTTAAGCTACAGTTAGTACTGTCGGGTAACGGGAAGAAGGGGTGGAGTTCAACGAAGAATATCACGAACCACGAGACAAGACCAGTTAACATAACGGGCACCGGGGTCTCCAAAATTAACAAGCGAGGAATTTGCACAAGCACTTCAAAAAATAAAGAGTTAAAGCAGTTGAACCATATGATATCCCTGAGAAAAAGTGTGGACGACTTTAGGGAGAAACAGGAACAAGTTAGCTAACATGTGTTTAATTAGAATTATGGAGGTGGGTCAAATGCTAGACGAATGAAAAAGAAATACTAATATTAGTACCTTGTGTGTGAGTGGTGTGTTGTGTAATAGAAAGATTCCAATGTAACTGAAAGGAAAATTCTATAAAATTGCCATAAGACCAGCTGTGCTGTATGAAAAAAAGATACAATTAACAATGAGGCTATTGGAAGAAATAAAAGGGTGGCACCAATCAATGCCAAAATAAAAGAGGATAATGTTGATGGGTGGATTTGTTTAACGTTCGAGACGTTAATCGTCCAATACGAAGAAATGTTTATGTGAAATGTAATTAGTGAAGTCGTCCATGCATAGGGAATGTCTTTAATAAGGAATCAGAAGCGGAAATATGCTTAGATGTGTGCCACAAAGGCTTAACTGTATTAGCCATATAGATATGCCAGCTAATCGAGCTATAAAAACAATACATCACAACGAATAGGAATGAAAAAGGTCATGTAAAAGAGGGATGTGAGATATAGAGAAAAAACTTAACGCAACGAAATAGGTAATTGGTGAACCAAATTAGCTTTCCGGACAGAATGAAACAAGCTGGTCAAAATCGATAGAGGGTGAATGCCATGATATGAAAATATAATATGATGTTGCATTTGTAAAATGTAATTCTTTACTGTCACCTGTTTTAAGTATGCAATATTATAAGACTTATTTTGTAAATTATGCACATAAACTATGCAGAAACTCTTCCAAACTCTAAAGATAGAACTATTACCATTTTGGAACAATTTCATAATGAATATGATGAGAAGATTGGAGGTTAAGAAGACTAGAAATACAACAAGAAAATTGGTTATAAAAATGTCAGGATGAGTGTATCTCATTTAATAAGAAGCAACAGCAAAAAATTTCTATTAGGTACTATCTATTTTGGTGAATACTGCATTTTTTCTAACAAACTTTAAATGTCTATCATTTTTTTTTTTTTTCGTTTATAAGAGGTTGGTAAAATAATATTATCTAAGTGATTCAATTTAAGTCTTTCTTCAATTATGGTGCTCAATCTTGGTGGTATTTTAAGCTTTACATTCCTTAATAAATGTTCTGCTATATGCTCTGCTCTTAAACGGAATCAAAATTATACAATATGTCGAATAAGAGGCAACTATAGTCACGGTGCTTCAAATATGAGTGTATCATTAGCAAAGATCGGTAACTAACATTGCACATTGCAGTTCTTCATTCAAGATATTCTATCAGATCCGTCCTTTATAGTATATTTTACAACCAACATTTCAATTTTCTTATTTACATTAAGAATCTTATAGTTCGCATTTCGAACTAGGTCTTGTTCTATTCGGGATCTTACCTAGTGTGACAGATTTATTTAAGAATGCAGCCCAAATATTTATACTGAATGTAAATTCCTATTCGTGTTCTAATTGAACCAGGGCCACATTTCAAAATAGATTTTTTTCTATTCGGGATCCTATCTCTTGCCGTCCCAGATTTATCAAAGAGTGCAGCCTAAAAATATATATTGCTGAATACGTTTTATGGGTTTTCCGTCACATTTTTGAACATCTAACACGTTCGTTTGGTTGTTTCGTATGACCCACTAGGTCTCCTTGACGTTCAACTAGGGCTATCTCTTCACTCTTCCAGTTTATTTGCAAGAAGTAAAATATCAACTCTCTATTCTCTAATATTATCTATAATTATTGTTATGATACCGTATTTATGTTGTAATATCATTACGAGCTTCCTGGAAGATTTCTTCAGATTGCAAATCAAGAGTGTAGGCAAGAGCAGACAAACTTGTCGGACTTCATGATTTTTATATCTTCTGGTCATATCTGGTGTCTTATATTTGCATTCTACTGCCAATACTATTATTATCATCTTGCTCATATAAATTTTGTTTCTTTATTTTTATTTTGCTTTTCTGATGAAAGATGAGAATATATCTACAGACAGATTCCAGCATCTGTGTACCAACACTGCCTGATGCGTACCCATTCCATTTCTGAAACCGAATATTGTATAGCCCATGTTTTCTTCGCTTGTGCTGCATGAGTTATTTATTTCGCATCTTAAGCTTGATTTTTTCTTTGCTGGTTTGGGTTATTGCCTGTTTAAAATGTATTTCATGTTAGTTCAACATAAGTACTACGTAAGTTTTGGTTGACTATTTATTAACTTCTTATCTGCTCTTCTGGGTGTTTAGTACAGACATATTAACTTTGGAATAACATAACAAATTATTGGAACACCTAAGGTCCAAATTCAACAATAACTGTAATTTAAGCCGAATCTAAAATGAAGATAAAGTACTTCAGGAACAACATGAATCAGTAAGTATGAATGAAAATTAATCCCCACGAATTTCTGAACAATATAGTAGTGTCTTAAAATAATTGACGTTTTCAATTCGATTTTCTTCAAGTTTAACATAAAAATACAATGCAACCAGAACTTGTATTATTTAACATAGAACTGCAGTGAATCGAAAACTGTACAGAACAACAAATAAACATTGCAATATTTAGATAAACTAACTACCAAGAGCTACTACTAACGAGTGCATACATACCTTTTGGACGGCTATTTGGGCTGCTTCCCGATTTGTAAATGTTACAAAGGCATATCCTCTATTGGTACCCGTCATTGGGTCCATCATTAGTCTAAGGTCCCATATATGGCCGCATTCCTCGAATAATGGAATCAGCTCATCTTCGTACATGTCTTTGGGAATTTTGCCGCAAAAAACTTCGCATCCCGAACCCGGCGGCGCACCTTCCCAGTCCGGTGGGGGACCACCGAATTTTCGTTGACCTAAATCATTGTGTTAGTTAGTTTTAAATAAGCAACTCTATTCTTTGTTTCACGTTAAGAAAATAACATTACGCTTATGGAGATCAGTGTTGCCAAAACTCTCAGACACTCTCTTTTGCACGGATGTCCAAGATATTCCCTTTGCTTAATTCTTGAATTTTCATTTTCAATTAATATTTAACTGTAAAGTCAGAATAACTACTAAATAAAAGTCTTATTATCATTATGTAGTCAGAGACGATATAAAATAGCTGACATACGCACATCGTATTATTTTAAGTTGCAATTAGTAATTAGATATACGCATTCCAAGCGGTCAATATTTTCTACTGATTTATATGATTCATGGCATATCGTATTCTCACCGAAAAACAAATAAACTGTCGTTACTATAATTAAAATAAGATAAAATAAAATTATCTTTTGTAAATACTATTTATGTAATTAAAATCATTTTCCCTACTTTTCATCTCTTGTTTCGAATGGGCACTTTTGGTCAATTACGTTAAAAAACATTAATTTAATTCATGTTTGTGGAAACGAAAATACAAATTATACAACCCTAAATTGTGCTTGTGTGTGTCGTGGCAACGCCGTGTTGCTATCGTCCATAAGAAATACATGGCCCTATCTTCGCAATGTTATTTTCTAAACGTGAAACGTAGTATAGTAAAAAGGTAAATAGTAAAAAAATAATTGTTTGCCTCCCAGTATTCTCTTAGACCCCAGAAATATGCTATATTTAACAATATATTCTTAGAGTTCCTCGTAAATCAATACATTGCCATTTGAGCCTGACTAAAGTAACAAATGTAAATCTATAATATGTTCCATTTTATGTAATCATACGATTTTAAATATAGCTCTCTCTATAATTCGTAAGTTATAATTCTCTATTACTATTATTTTCAAGGTACCTTGCTTACGCCATCAACGAAACATGATATTTTTGGAACCAGCATATAAACTATATTATTCATTAAAAAGAAAAACAATATTAACTGGACGGCGTTATTTATCACTAGACCAAGCGCCATTTTCTCAAATTGTGGATTATGGCGCTTTCTGGTGGGAAATAGCATAATCTATCTACAGAATAAATCCCATTCATTTGTTAGTAACGGTTAACCAGATATATTTAAAAAGACCAAGTGCCTTTCTTCTTATTCTGGATTTTGAATTGTAAATCGAATATTTGGCAACATACGTACATGAGCGTTGTTGTCAATAACTTGTTGAGGCGTTTAGGTTAAGAAGTAGTGGCAGATATTGCTTAAATTTTTCTACAGAAGATGTACAAGAAGAATCACTGCAGATGTCTTCAACTTTTAAAGGAGAAACAAGAAGTAACAGTACTCCTCAGCAGGAACAAAAAGAAGAGAAAATAGCATTAAACAGAAGTGATAAAAAAAAAAGCGTAAAAGAACAAAAACCAGTAACAAAAGAAATACCACAAGGATATACACAATATCCAATCTGTGACTGTAAACCTTTCTTTTTACAGACCTTGAGAATATCAAGTTGCAAAGTCAATGCAGCATTGAAAACTATGAAACGTCCAATGGGTGTTCGAGATTGTTGTGGTCAAAGCGGAGGTCATAATAAAATTAACGATAATCATGTACAAAAAGTAATTGAGCACATAACGAAATTCCCTAAGTACAAGTGACATTACAAAAAAACTAACACAGAAAGACCTAACAGAAGACACAACATTAAGTAAAATGGATGAATTGTATATTGAAGAAGCAGACAATGATCCTTTTAAATTTTTGTTTTACAAAAAAATATTTTTAACACGATTTAATATTCAAAGAAAAAGTTGAAAAAAGATACTTTTAGTAGATGTCATTATTTCGAATTCGGAATTGAAAATTGCGCAGATAACGAACAATTAAGCAAGTTGAAAAAAGATACTTGTAGTAGATGTCATTATTTCGAATTACGAATTGAAAATTGCGCAGATAACGAAACATTAAACAGTTAAAGAAATAAAAAAAATGTACACTTGAAGAAGCTGAAAATGCACAATCTAGAAGAAAGCTACGAGATGTGCAACGAACAACAAGAAACGGAAACCTTTTGTTTTGATTTAGAAAAAACTATTCCTCTTCCGAGGATTCCAACAAATATTGTATCTTATAAGCGTCAATTATGTATTTACAACATTGGTATCCATAGCGGCAAGGATAACAAAGGTCATTGTTATGTTTTAATAGAAGGTGAAGCTGGTCGGGCAACCCATGAATTAGGCAGTTGTCTTAAGAAACGCATTGAAGAAAATGTTACTTCTGCAAAACATGTAATTTTGTGGTCAGACTCTTGTGGCGGCCAAAACCGCAAGATCAAAATAAGTTTTTGATCTTGCGGCCTTTGACCTACTATTGAAAAAATTACATTACGCTATGTCTTTCCTTTTACTCAATGATAGTGATGAAGAAATACGGTAAAAACAACCCACTAGTAGTTCACAGAATAAAAAAAGAAGAATTCGTTAGAACAAAGAAGCTGGAAACTATGATTACAAACCGTATATCAGACATAGAAAACAGTAAGGTAAGCTGGCTTAAAACAAGCGAAATTGAATGAGAAAGGATAAACCACTGAGTATTTTTATGAAAATTGATTTTAATACTAGTGAAGTTAAAGTAGATCTTCACAAGAAACTTCAAGGACGGCCCGTTGCAATGCAATCCCTAAGTAACCACTTGATTCCTCTTTGGCCCACAGGCAAGCCAGAGGCAGCAAGTAGATGACATTGACGGATTTGATAAAGACTTAGACTTTGGCATAAGAGATGAGTAATGTTTATTTACTATTTTCATAACAATCAGAAAATTGTACCTTCTGTTAACACTGAGTTCAAGTTTTTTTTCTTGTGTTTTTGAGACTAGACCAAACGACCTCAATGTCGCTTGGTCTAATGATGTATAACAATTACACAATGGCGAAAATCGTAAGTCGACCAAAAGCCTTATTTTTTTCGTTTTTCTTCAACATTAGCAAGTTACTATTTCGCACTTAAAGAAAACATAAAAAACTGTCTTCGAAAACAAAAAATTACCACTATTGTAACATATACTGAATTTTAATATAGTGAAGACTTTGAAGACAAATATCTCAAAATCAATTTTAGGCGATTGGTCTAGTGATGCATAACGCCGTCCAACTATTAATCAACAAGTTTGAAGGATAAAGCTTTGCAGATATGATAATTTAACCATGCCTGCAATTTATCGAATCAACTGCTTCACTAATTCTAAATATGATGTCTATAATGAAACCATAATCAGCAACCAGAAAGTTACAGAAAATAAAGGATATCCGAGTGGGACCAAATTATACCCATAGGAAATGTGGACGTATTTCTAGAAAATTGGATAATTTGTATCGCACGGAACATCAGTCAGTATGGTCACAGTTCATTTTTCAAGAAAATTGACATTTCTATATGAAGAAATGAATATTGTTACTAAAGAAACAAGAAAAAACTTACCGGTAGTAACATCTAAAGCATATCCGGTTCGGTCTAATATTTTTTTGATCTTATCATGGTCGGGTCCCTTGACGGGCGCTGGCGCGGGAGTGGCCGCACCCGCCGAGCCGCTGGTCCCCGCTCTGCTCTTCTGTCTGTAGGTCTTCATGACTCCGCATAGGTACGCCGATTTATTTGACACGTGCTCCAAGTTGGAATCTAGGAACTGACCTAAAACATTGAGCGCCCCATCAACAGGAAATTCTTTTAAGGCTCCAGCGCTCTTTCGTCTAGGTCAACGTGTACTAGCTTGCCAGTCTTATAGATCTCATCCAATTTTGCAGCAACTTTCTCGTCAAGGCCATATTCCAGCAGCTTCTGGTAGTCTTCAGTACGTTCGACGTCGATCTTCATTGATTCTTCCGGTACCTCACCATTACCTTCTGCCATAGCTAAAACAAAACAAACTTTGTATTACATTGTTCAAAATATAAATTGCTTCATTGCAACGCAGTGACTATTCTACAACTATACGCAATTCAATACAACTCTTGCTATTTTTTTACTTACACTACACAAATATTTATCCAATGAATACTCAATTACATTAATCTCTCGTGAACAATAATTACCAAAGTACAAAGTTTACCAACTTCTAGTTAAAGACAACAGTATTTAAACAGTTATCTTTTGGTAGAACATAAATATAAAATTTTGAAAATCTAAAATAGATGACAATAAAAACTTTACATATTTTATTAAAATGCTGACACAAATGCCACTAATGTCGTTTTCGGACCAATAGCGAAGCGATTTGATTGTGCATTTCATGTTTTATGAAATATAAACGAGTCGTCAGCACTCATTTAAGAGAACGAATGTACGTATCAACTAGAGGAGTTAAAATAATTAATTTTTTAAATGTTTATAGAAATTAAATACAATAAATGAAAGAATTTGTAGAAACAAAATAGAAAAAGAATACAAAAACTCTAAAGAAGTAAAAAAGTGGTTTTAGAGCTGGCAAGTTAATGTACCTACAGATGAAGTGTTTTGCCTCAAAAAAGTTATTGCGAAAAAATTGGCAAATAGACGGAACAACTCATCAAGTTTTTATAGATCTACTAAAAGCAATGTTCCTATCAATCAACTGTGGGAATGCGTTAAAAAACTATATAAAGAAATGAAATGAATTTAAGAATTACCTTTAACTCAGAAGGAATATACAACAACACATCCAGAATTAATACAGCAAGGAGAATAATTAAATCGATTCATACGGTATTGTAAATAGGACGATAAACACACAAAAACTAGACAAAGGCTAGAACATCAACGTTAGAGACAATTAGAAATTATTCTTATTAATCAGGTAAAGTACAGTACAGAGAATAAGGATAGAAAATGAGATTGACATTCACATTTAAAACATTTGGACTCTTCCTCACAAAGAAATATTGTTCTTCGTAAAGAGCGCTGTTTGACACGGTCTCGTTCAGTGATTTTTGCAAATGTACAAAACTATTGTTAAAAATGAAAGCCAATACTGTCTACACTACCAAATATTGTTATATAAATCTTAAATATAGACAATTTTCGTGAGAAAACAGGTATATGGATGTGCGAAGGGTTGTTGTGCCAAAACCTGTTCATACTGTATAGGGGACATTCCCCTACTGCAAATATAGAAATGAGAAAACAGATGTTACAGAATGATAGAATAACAGTATATTGCAAAATTGATGCGACTTATTAGCGAGCATGTGATACATAGAATATATTTTTGTGAAATATACAAGTATAATGTATACAAAAATTTGGTAGTAAATTAAAAATATTTGATGTTTTGCCAGCTTAGTTATTAACATTTCAGTTTCGTTTTAAAGATAATTTAATTTATTTTTAATCACGTGTCAACAAGATCTGATTTAAACAAAGGTAGATTTTCTAAAGCCATTAATGCATAATCATTTATTTTTAAATCCTTAGAGATTTTAAAAGAATACACAACTATAGTTGACCATTTTTCATTCGGAAATGTATGTACATATAAACAGTATTTTAATGTGCGAAAATTATTTATTATGTCTAACAGCCAAGCTACACCCCTCTCAAATCTTGGATGTTAGAGCACTAACATAGAAATATAAAGCAAAATAGGAGACAAAACACCAGAATACACCACAAAGACAAAAGATAAAGCTTACAGGTCGACTCCACGAAGTCTTCTTTAAGTGCCATCTCAACCAAGGTTGGCAATCGTCATGGCTATTCTGACCTTCGAGTCAGCTGCTCTGAACAATTGCCTTGAGCTGCAACCAAACCACTTTCTCAGGTTCTTCAGCGAGGAAACGCGTCTTCTTCCTACGCTTCCCCTACCCTCTATTTTTCCTTGAATTATGAGTCTCAAGATGTTGAATCTTTCACCTCTCATTACATGTCCGAGATATTGTAATTTCCTTTCTTTTATTGTATTTTCTATTTCCCTCTCTGTGCCTATTCTCCTTAACACTTCTGCATTCGTGACTCTATCTACCCATGGAATCCTTAACAATCTTCTAAATGTCCACATTTCAAACGCGTTAAGTCGATTTATTGTATTCCGGTTTAATGTCCATGATTCAGCTCCACGAAATACTTATTCCAAAAAAGAATAACAGAAAGAAGCAGAAACATATATATCATAGAAAGTGATGGAATCGAATAAAGAAAGCTGGAAAGTTCTTAGTGAAAGAAACATAAGTAAAAATAAATCGTTGTCAAGGCGAAGCCATAGTTTTGAACAGAAGTGATCGAAAAGTGTAAATAAAAGAAAAAGCATACTGAAATGCATATAAACCAAGAGACAAGAAGCATACGATAATTATAAGACAATAAGAAACGAAACATATGCACTTGTAAGAAGAATAAAAAATTATCACTGAGAACATTTTTCGAAAGAAATAGAATATGATTTTTAGGGTCTGCAAAAGGAAAGAGGACTTTATAAGAGGTCAAAGAGCCAAGGTAAAGGAACTGATAGAACCAAAACATGTCGAAAAGAATACGTGGATAGACTACCTAAAAAGCTCTATGCAGAGGAAAAAAAAATGACGCTAGAACCAGAAACTAGATACACAGGAAGTTCGAAAAAGACTTGAAAATCTGAAGAACAGAAAAGCTGCAGGTAAAGACGGAATATCAAACTAATTACTTATTAAATACCTACTACCCTAAAACTTAGAACTAAAATTTTTACTAGAACTAATCAACCTGGGATAAGTTTAGCAGATCAACAACAGGGCTTTCGTACTGGAAGATTGTGTACTGATACAATATTAATCATAAAGCAAATTACTGAGAAATCACTACTAGTGATTTGATAGTGAACTTACATAATCTATAGACATAGGTAGCAGAGGGACTCATTGAGTCCCATGTTCTTTAACTTAATTATGGATGAAAACAGAAGTGTCAACAAAGAAGGTGGATACAGAAAGGGAAATAAAGAAGTAAAAATACTATGTTACGCAGACCACGCAATATTCATAGCCCAAGACGAAGATAGTTACACTAGAATTGCACTATCAGCTTTTAACATCTGGACAAAAAAATCAGAGATCAAGTACAAAACGCAAGTAGACTAGCAGGATGCCTTAATAATACTATATGACAAAACAGACATATTAACACTAAGATGAAGTCAAGAATTTAGTTCAGTGTAAGACCAATAATGACATATGCATCAGAAACAAGACCAGACACAGCCACAACATAAAGAGTACTGGAAGCGGCCGAGATGAGAGTACTACGAAGAATTACAAGAAATACGCTGAGAGATCTAAGAATGAGTGAAGGCAGAAGAAAATGTAACGTACAGTATATAAACGAATGGACAGTAAACAGAAAAAAAATAGAATAACCACATAAGCAGAATGGGGGACACCCGTATGGTCAAAATAGCAAGAGGTAAATTCCCAATCGGTAAAAGTACCGGACAAGCGCGCAAAAGATGGAGTAACAATCTTCTATAGAAGTATCAATTTGTCAATGAACAGAATTGCTTATAAAGAGGAAGAAAACAGCCTAGTTACACTAAAGGCTGCGAAGTATGTAACTTCTGTAACTTCTAACTGTAACGAGTTCGTAACAACTTGGGAATCCAAACAGTCTCTTAAGCAATCGACGAATCAGAACAAAGTAACTTGCTTATGGATGCCAGCGAAGGAACTAGTACCCGTTTTATCGAACCACAACCATTCTGAGGTATATCAACAAGCAGCATAGTCAAAGTTGTCCGAAAATGGAAATAAGATAGTCCAGGCCAAAGTCAAGCAAAAAGGCTCCTAAAACCTTCTACTCGCTATGCCAAATTACTCTTAAAGCTTCTGAAAATTGAACTCAAAGTAATCAGTGCTCTCACTCAGTTATATCTAAAATGGGCAAAATAGACAAACCTATATGCATAATCTGCAAATTGCAAATGAAACAGCGGAACATAGCATTTGTAACTGCGGGCAATAGCTCGCCAACGCTACAAGTGCCCGGTAGTGGTCTTTTTAGTACCGGATCAGTAACAAACATATAAGAGGTTAGAAAATATACTTTAGTACTTACAAAAAAACTAAAACTACAACTTATTAAATAGCGGTTTTCTTAAAAGTCTAGATCTTTTGGACTAAAACGTTAATATAGGGTATGCATAAAAGATTATCTTTCGGGCACCAAAATAGAAAAGTCTACGATACTCTTGAAATCTACAAACTGCGCTTTTTGCTATTATAGGTACGAGGTCAAAAGATATGAATAATTGGTATCAAAACCCTACTAGTTACAAATGTTTATAATAAAATGCAGCTTATACAAAAAAAAAACAAGCCACTGCACACATGATAATAAGCAGATAATTGTGATTTTTAAAGGATTTGGGTAGGAAATAACACATGGGCAGAATCGTGGACAGCACTAACCTTAGTAGTAATATGGAATCCTCTTATCAGCAAGTAATTGGTCTTAGATTATATGGGTGGCATTTTCGACATAATTTTTACAAATGCCTTGATTTTATATCTTGTCGTGAAGCTATTAGGTATATACAAGATCGTGGAACGATTATTTTGAGGTTTATTGACTTTATCCGGTTGAAAGATAATCAAAGCTGCATAGGCCCTAAAAACACATTGTCACTAATTTTTTGATAAATATGGTTTAAATATGTATAAAATACTACATTTAGTCATACAAACTGAAATTAGAAATGTGACATTTAGTGACATTTCTAATTTTAGTAAGGTGTTTTCTTCTTATTGTTTAGAAATTTAAATCAAATGTGGATCACTCTTTTACTCGCCAATTATTTCTTATATTACGGCCCTTTTCTACTAACAGAACCGAAAACCGTTAAATTAAGCCGCTGGTGCCAATACACCAAATAAAGACAGTAATCTCTCATTCGTAATGTTTAAATTTTA